GAGATCAGACTACTTGTGGGATGACATCAAGAACATCATACACGACAAAAGCAAAAGATAATTAAAAAAGCAGGAAAAAAAGAAAAGACCAAAATGGATGTCAGAAGAGACTCCTAAACTTGCTCTTGAATGTGAGCAGCTAAAGCAAATGGAAAAAATAAAGTGAAATAAATGACCAGAAGGATTCAAAGGACAGCTAGCGAACATGAAAATACAATATTATAATGAGATTATAATTAGATATACAATTAGAAATAGAAAGAAGGAACTCTGTTAGCATAGTGGGTTATGTGTCGGGCTGCTAACCACAAGGTCATCAATTTGAATCTACCAGTTGCTCTGTGGGACAGGGATGAGACTTTCTGCTCCCTACAGATTGACAGCCTTGGAAACCCTATACAGGGTTAATAGGAGTTGGAACCAATAGGATGGCACATAGCAGCAGCAGTGTTAGAAATCCAAAAGGGAAGAATGTGCCCAGCATTTTTCAATTCAAAGAACTCATGAAAAAATGCAAGTCTTTGGTTACAGAATCTTCTTTTGATTTAGAAAAATCAAAAGTTGGAACTGATTAAGTATGGATGGAACACATGAAGCATTGTACCAAAGAGAATTGGTTGGTGTTTAACCATTTCAGGATATGGCATATGAGGTGGCTTGAAAAAGTTAATGTAAAAATGGAATTTTCCATGAAAATTTCAAAGTCCTCTCATTTTATCAAGTCTAAGATGAACTGAAGGCACTAGAATTTATGGAATACCAATTGAGATGTTTTCAACAAATGTATGCATTCTAGAAATGGTCTCTCATTTATGCCAAGAAAGCTGGAAGACAACTACCTGGCCAACCAACTAGAAGAGGTCTAAATTTGTGTCCATTTCAAACAAGAATCAACAGAATTCAGTAATTATCTAATGGTATCATTAATATCATAAATATGTAAAATTTTGCTAAAGATAATTTTAAAATGATTGTAGCAGTACATTGACAGGGAGCTGCTAGAAATTCAAGCCAGTATTAGAAGAGGACATGGAATGAGGGATACTATTGCTGACATCAGATGGATCTTGCTGCAAGCAGAGAATAATGTTTACTTGTGCTTTATTGACTATGCAAAGGCATTCGACCATGTGAATCATAACAAACTATGGATAACATTGTAAAGAATGAGAATTTCAAAACACTTAATTGTACTCATGCAGAACCTGTCCATAGACCAAGAAGCAGTGGTTTGAGCAGAACAAGGGGATACTGAATAGTTTAAAATCAGGAAAGGTATGGGTCAGGATTGTGTCTTTTCACTATACTTATTCAATCTGTATGCTAAGCAAATAATCTAAGAAGCTGGAATATGTGAAAAACAATGGCATCAGGATTTGAGGGAGACTCATTAACAATCTGAAATATGTAGATAGCACAACCTTCATGACTAAAAGTAAAGAGGACTTAAAGCACTTACTGATGAAGTTCAAAGTTCAAACTAAGCATACGTTTAGTATGCATGACGACTCAACATAAATAAAAAATCCTCACAACTGGACCAATAAGCAACATCATGATAAAGAAAAGATTGAAGTAGTCAAGGATTTCATTTTACACAATCAACATCTTTGGAAGTAAAGAAATCATATTGTGTATTATATTGCAAAAGGCCTCTTTAAAATGTCACAAAGCAAAGATGTCACTTTGAGTACTAAGGTGAGCCTAACTCAAGCCATGGTGCTTTCATTAGCCTTATATGCATGTGAAAATGGACAGTGAATAAGAAAGGCTGAAGAAGAATCGATGTCTTTGAATTATGGTGTTGGCGAAGATAATTTAACATACCACAGATTGCAAAAAAAAAATGATCAAGTGTGTCTTTGAAAGAGTACAGTCAGACCATTCCATAGACGTGAGACTTCATGTCATGTACTTTGGACATGTTTGTTAGAAGGTGGGATCGGTCTCTGGAGAAGGACATCATGCTTGGTAGAAAGTCAGTGACAAAGAGGAAGAAACTTAACAAGATGGATTGACACAGTGGCTGCAATAATGTGTTCAAACATGGATGATTGTGAGGATGGCACAGGACCAGGCAGGGTTTCCTTCTGTTGTACATAGGGTCATTATGAGATGGAATGAAGCAACTTGACAGCACCTAACAAGAACAACAGTCTTTATCATGGCAAATCACTAGCTCTTTTTTCCTGTGGAGCTGCTGTGTGGCTTTGAAACCACCAACCTTTTGATTAGCAGTTTTGCCACCAAGTCTCCTTTTCTAGACTCTAGTCCACTCCTTTGGCTCTCCTTTTGGTTCCTAAGCACTCTTTCTTATTTACATGCAATTCTGGAATTTCTGTAGTATTCTCCCTTCAGTCCCTGAGCAGCGCCTTCCACCCTGAGAATTGTCACCTGCCGTATGCAGCCTGCAGTGTTCTTTGAAGACCATGTTTTGGAGGAGAGGGTATCTAGTACTGTTTTGAGCTGAGCTGCTGGAAATCTCTTAGTTCCTCCTCTGCCCTCTCCAGGCACTCTGCCTTTATCCTCTCTGTATATCTCCCCTTATTGTTGTTGTGCAGTGCTGTCGAGTCGGTTCCGACCCATAGCGACCCTGTATAGGGTTTCCAAGGAGTAGCTGGTAAGCTTGAACTGCCGACCTTGCAGTTCAAACAGCTTCGCAGTCTAGTGCCTTAACCCACAGCGCCACACCAGGACTCTATATCTCCCCTTGCTCTCAGGAAAATACTGGTGAAGATTTCCTTAGGTGCAGGTTGAAATATGGACTTAATAAAAATATTATTAATTGCCCTGAGAGTGTAATAAAGAGTGCTTCATGAGGTATGGCGGCTTTCTAAGGTTAATGAACCATTTGCCATTTCCTCAAGCAGCAAGAACTCTCCAGGGTCGGCACTGAATACTCTCTCCACGAGGGCACACCTTCCCTTAGTAACTGGCTGCCACTTTTGCTACTTCAGTTATCAGATCAGTTTCCTTTTGAATGATACATTTGCCTCTTTCTATAGAAAGAGTTTTTGGAATCCTGGTGTGGCACTATGGGTTAATGCACTGGGTGCAATGTAGGTTTGAACTGCAAGGTCACTGTTTCAAGCTCACCAGCCACTCCTAGGAAATCCTATTCAGGGTCGCTATGAGTTGGAACTGACTCGATGGCACTTAACAACACAGTGAAGACTATCATTTTGTTTTTGCTTTTTTCCCCTACTTGGACCTTGGTTATCCTGCAGAAAGTGTCTGTTGCAGTAAGAAGAGTATAGAGTGCTAAAATAAGAGCAGGTCTTGATGTAAACAGTCTGCCTTAAAAATTTTTTTTAAATACATCCTGAGACACTGGTATAAAGTAGACCAACAATCCCTAGAACACAGACACTTTCATTGGAAACCCTCTTCTACTTAGAGTAAGGGGACAGGAACCCAGTGTGGATGTGCAATCTTTAAAGCATTACATTTCTTCCTGACCTAGCATGGTTTCCAGTTTTGTTCCTCTTTCATACACTCAACTGCACTGGCTAGTTTGAGGTCCACAAATCCTGCCTCAGCGATCTTGGTTAGAACCAGCTTTGGACCGTAAAGGCCCTGCCCTGAGTAGATCTGCTCTAGGACCTGGAGAACTTTAGATTTAGGGAGTGTCACTCCTGGTGTGGTGCTGTAGGATCAGCACCAGACTGCGAATCACAAAATCTGCAGTTCAAACCCATCAGCTGCTTTTCAGAAACCCTGTATAGTGTCGCTATACAGGAACTGACTCAATGGCACTTAACAACAACAGCAACTTCATTCTGAACTTTTCTTAGGTATATTCTAACCTCCCCTAGGTTTTGGAGAGCTCGACTTGATCTACTCTTGCATGTCAGGAGCATGGGAACCAGAGTGTAATACAACCCAGGAGACCATGTTGAATAATGGTCATTTAAGGAGCTTCACTGAGTATCACACTACTCTGGGCACCCGGGCAGTATTATCTTCTCACAGGCTAGTGTGAATCACTGAATGAAGCACCATGTAAGTAAACAATAGAATAATGAAGACAGTGGTTAACCTCTATTGAACTCTTATTAAGCAGCAGGCATGGGGAGTGGTAGTTAGCATACCAAGTCTGCTTACTCTTCAAGCAGTTCTATATGTTATTAAGTGCCACTGAATTGATTCTTACACATAATAACCCCATATAACAGTAGAACTGCCCTGTTATTTGTTGTTGATGTTGTTTTTTTCTTCCATGTAGCCATTGGGTGGATTTGAACCACTAACCTTTCTGTTAGCAGCTGAGCACTTAAATCATTTACCATCAGGTTGCCTTAGTCCTGTAGAGTTGTTGTTGTTAAGTGCAGTCAAGTTGGTTCTGACTCATAGCAACCATTTATAGGGTTTCTGAGGAGTGGCTGGTGGTTTTAAACCACTGACCTTGTGCTTAGCAGTCCAATGCTTGTCCTACAGCACCACACCAGGATGAGGAAATTGTGCTTAAGTTAAGTAATTTGTCTAAGCCATACAACTAGTGGCAGAGCTCTGTATTTGAACAATGGCCAGTCTAACTGAAGGGCAGGTTTTAACCCCTCAGTGAAGCCTGTGAATAGAGTGAAAAGGCTAAACCCTTGAACAGCTATAGAACTTTGGGTTACAGGGAGATTCTTAGGCTCAGACTAATGTTAGCTCTGTTTTCTCCAAGAGCAGTGCAAACAGCCATGCTTTCTCCCTACCTCAGTGTCTTCATTTATTAAACAAGCATGTATAAGAACCAGCTCCATAACATTTTTACAGCAAGTATTACTACTGCAGCCACTATCTGCCCCCCACTGCCACTGCCATTGCCACCTATTAATGCTCCTTGCTCATGAACAGGTTGGATGTGAATCAAAGGATGAAGTGCTTTGCCTCATTCTCATTTACTTGTCCTCTACCCCTGCCCTGCCGCAAGACCTTAAATGCTTTAGTGATGGGTAACATAGTAACCCACAGCTAAAGATATCAGTTTAATCTGAGTTTTGGTTTGTTTGCAGTGAATGAGAAATCTGTTCATTGGAAACTGGGAGCCGATAAGGAAGTCTGGGTCTGGGTGATGGGTGAACACCATCTTGATACACCCTATGATGTGCTCTGTCAAGAAATTACTGCTGAGAGGACCCAACTGAAAACAGAGCAGGAAATGGAAGAGCTCAGGTATGAGATTTGCAAACCAATGAGCAACTTAAATTTTAAAAAATTAAACATGGATATAAAAAGAGGCATGAGGACATTTTATAGCTTTGTTGGAAACAGTGTTCAAGTCACCATACTGCCATGTCCTGTTGGAAAGAGGCACTGGCGTGGAACTGGACAAAGATGCTGAAGAGTATATAGCAGAAAACTATTATCATGTGTAAGTGCAGAAGGATAGAGCCTCTGAGTTTAAACAACTGGTCTCCTTTCCCTGCAGATTTAGAAGCAGAATGAGAAAGCCACCTGAGGACATGGTGAAGTCAAAATCATAGCTTTGAAAATAAGAGAAATTTTATATAAGATAACCCAAACATGTTTGGTCTTAACTAGAGTCAGTCATACTAATCATATCAGTCAGCATGGCATATACTTAGGAAAAATATCCAGAGGCCAAAGTCACATAAGACCATGGGATAGATTTGTAAGAGAAAAATTCCCTGAGCTGTCTTCATGTACTTGAATGTTCTTGTTATTTTGGGCAAAGGATATTGAAAAATTACAATAAAGACAGAAATCCCAACCATCAAAAAAAAAAAAAAAATTAAACATGCCTGTTGTATATGGTATATGTTGAGGGAGTGAAGTGGCGTCTAAGTTCACAAACAAAATTTTTGACAATTTGGAAAAGTTTCTTATATTTTTGATGAGCCCCTTCGTTCCTACAATGCTATCAGATCAGCTATTTCCTATCCCCATCTTTGATCTGTGTTCCCCAGTGGTCATTGTTGGCTTCCCCTAAATTATTTTAGAGCCATGCAGACCATCACAGTTAAGCATTAAAATACCAGTCAGAGCTGTTAAAATGCAGTGTCTGTTCAAGCTTCAGATCTTTGTAGAAGGTTGCTGCAATAGGGGGAGAAGAACAAGTAGGTTCCTTTGCTTCATGGTTCTGAGTTTACCCAGAGGTGTTTTGGAAGAAAGTCCCGACAGTTTACCTCTAAAAAACCAGCCCCTGAAGATACACAAGGGCTTACCTGGAGTCGGCATTGTTGCAGACATTGGGAACTTAAAGATGCACAAGGAGTTTACAGTCCAGGATGCAAGACAGGCAGATCCACAGCTAACTGCAGCTTACATAGGCTGGGATGTTGTTGTTAAGTGCTGTTGAGTCAGTTCTGACTCATAGCAACCCTGTATAGGGTTTCCAAGGACAGCCTGGTGGATTTGAACTGCTGACCGACCTTGTGGTTAGAAATCCAGTACAATCTTACAGCACCACACTAGGAGTTCATACAGGGTGTGATGAGTGCTATTATTAAGCTATAAATAGCACATTTACAGTTTGATTCACAAAGACTGAAATCTGAGCCAGACCTTGAATGATAAGTATGGTTTTCCAGCTATAGAAGATCAGGAAGGAAGTTGCTAACAGAGGACACAGCATAGTGAACATGCAAAGTTGTTTGGGGAGCGCTGAGTTATGAGTTTTGGGGTGTGTATTGGGGTGAACAGAGGAAGTCAGGGGACCACACTGTGAAATGGTTTGAAGGTCAGTTTGAGGCGATTGGACTTTACTCTTTGGGCAGTAAGGAAGATGGTGAATAGGGAAGAGACAGGATTAGTTAGAGGCAAGGAAAGTTAACTAAAGGCAAATGATAGTTTCCTCTGTTGGGGGCCCATGGTGGCTCTTGAGTGCCCTCCCCTGGCTTTGGACAGTGGCACCCTGAGCTAGCAGTCTGTGTTGGGATGGAGACTGGAACAGACATGCAGACTTCAGTTCAGTTCCTGAGGTTGTTGATGTTGTCTACCAGCTTCTATAGTATGACAGTGTTAATAAGCATAGCCCTATAGAGGAGTGATTTGCTGACTCTGATCATAGGAAGGCAATTTGCTCTAACAGTTTAGCACCTGAGTCAGGTGTTAGACAGACCTGGGTTCAAATCCTGACTGTGCCACTATATGGTCTTGGAAAAATTATATCAATTTTTGAGCCTCTTAAAACAACAAGAGCTGGTATTGGGTTAATGGGTATTAGGGTTGTTACAAGGAGTACATTGCTGTCATTAGAGTGCTTGCCAAAAGGGCTGGCATGTTACACTTTGTAAATGATATAGTTAATTTTTACATATTTTGAATGTAAACATCTGCTTTAGAAACTCCATCAGTGTTGAAGAATATTTTCTGATAATTTCACTTTGGTTTCTGTTCAGGAAAACTCAAACCAGTGAGTTCACCAATAGCTCGAAAACAGAGCCACAGAACGACAACCTACAAGCAACAAATAGCTGGGCAACTCAGCACACCTCTAAGAAAGTGACAGAAGAGAAGGAATTAGGGCAGGGATCTAGACCAGCGACAACCCCTGAAGAAGAGAAAACTGAAGTGAGTTTCTCATATCTGTAAATGCCTAAAATTTCACTTGTGGGTATCTGAGTTTCCTAGGGCTGCCGTAATGCAACAACAGAAATGTATTCTCTCCTGGCTCTGGATGCTAACCTTCATTGCCGTCAAGCTAACTCCAACTCACAGTGACCCTGTAGGACAGCATACAACTGCTCTATAGGGTTTCCAAGGCTGTCACCCTTACAGAAGCAAACTGCCACAGCTTCCTGCCATGGAGCAGCTGATAGGTTTAAACCATCTACCTGTTGGTTGGCAGCCGAACATTTGACCATTACGTCATCAGAGCTTGTTATTGTTCTTAAGTGTCATCCAGTCAATAGTAGGTTTCCAAGGAGTAGTTGAGTGGGTTTGAACTGCCAACCTTGCGGTTAGCAGTACAGTGCTTATCCTAAATCTCCACACTAGGGCTAGAAGTCCAACATTAAAGTCTCAGCAGGGCTGTGCTTCCTCCTGAGGGTCTAGGGGAAAAACCTTCCCTGCCTCTTCCAACCTTAGCACCGGGTGTTCTTGGTTTGCCAGTGGTTCACTCCAGCCTGCCTCTCTCACATGACCTTCTGCCATGTCTGGATTTCTTCTCTTCTGTGGATCCCAGTGTGGTGCTGTAGGATCAGCACAGGACTTCAAACCATAAGGTCTACAGTTCAAACCCACCAACTGCTCCTCGGAAACCCTATACGGGGTCATTATGAGTTAGATTCAATAGCACTTACTTTAATTCAACCCAGAACACAAGTGGAGATCAAGATCTTGGGGGCATTGAGATGTATGTAGCCAAGAATCAGCATAGTAAGCTAACTTTCCTGGGAAAAACTCCTTCCATCTTGGAAGCCTATTGTTCATTTCATTTCAGAAGATTTGGCTCATCTGCTACTTCTTGAAAAACATAAAGCTCCCATTTTCCCTGGGGTTGAGTATGCTAACAACTCTAGGAATAAACTTTAGCCTGTTAAAGCTGTTTTTTTGTTGGTTTTCCTTCTATTAATGTATCGTCTGTAACAGGAGTTTTGGTAAGCTTTTTCTACAAAGTAGTGATGGCGGTTATATGTTGTGGAGTCAGTTATAACTCATAGTGACCCTACTTAGAGTTCCAAGGTTATAAATCTTTACAGGAGCAGAAAGCCTTGTCTTTCTCTTGCAGAACTGCTGGTGATTTTGAACTGCTGACCATGAGATTAGTAGTCTGACTCGTAACCACTATATTTCTAGAGTACAAAGTACCAGCTTAAGCTTTGTGGGCCTTACAATCTCTGTCACAACCCACAATGATACATAAACAAATGAGTATGGTTGTGTTCCCAAGTCATAGGATTTTCAATAGACTTATATGCATGTGAAAATTGAACAATGAATAAGAAACATAATAGAAGAATTGATGCATTTGAGTTATGGTGTTGGAGAAGAATATTGAAAGTACCATGAACTTCCAGAAGAACAAACAAATCTGTGTTGGAAGAAGTACAGCCAGAATGCTCCCTAGAAGGTAGACTTCATACTTGCATACTTCAGACATGTTATCAGGAGGGACCAGTCCCTGGAGAAGGACATCAAGCTTGGTAAAGTGGAGGGGCAGTGAAAAAGAGGAAATCCCCCAAGGTGATAGACTGGCTCAGTGGCAGCAGCAGTGGGCTCAAGCCTAACAACGATTGTGAGGATGGTGCAGGGCCCAGCAGTGTTTCATTCTGTTGCATATAGGGTCACTATGAGTCGGAATAAAAAGCTCTGTTAGCATAGTGGTCATGAGTCAGGCTGCTAACTTCAAAGTCAGCATTTTGAAACTACCAGCTGTTCCGTGGGAGAAAGATGAGGCTTTCTGCTCCCGTAAAGATTTACAGCTTGAACACCCTCTGCAGGGTCGCTATGAGTTGGAATTGACTCAGTGGCACACGACTGCCACCACCACCATGAGTTGGAACTGACTTGACGGCACCCGTCAACAACACCATGGCTGTGTCCCAGTGTGCTTTTACTTAGTTTCCTGACCCCTGCTTTATCATATCTGCAGGTACATTCGTGGCTTAGCTTATGGTCTTTTAAGTCTTCCCCTTTATACTGAGGAGTTTGACTTCACAGATCATGCCTGTGATTATGGGGGGAGTCTTAGTCCCCCTATACAATAGATTTTTATACTCAGCGTTGGTGTAACTTCCCCTATGTTTCAGGTGATTTACAAAGCTCAAATATAATTTGCTACTTGGATTATAGTTTGGAAATACAATAAAACTATATTATGAAGTCCCCTATTCTGCCAGGAATTTAATTACACTGAGAATGAGCAGGGGATTTGCAATTTTTTGACTTTTGTTCAAGTCCCAGCTGTACAGCACTAGCTCTTGACCTCTTTAACACTGCCAGGTGGGGATACAGTTGTCTGCCCTGCTTACTTCAAGGACTTGGTAATATTATAATTACTAATATGAGTTGAAGGACTCCTGGTGTGGTGCCTTAGAATAAGCTCTGGACTGCTAACTGCAAGCTTGCAGTTCAAACCCACCAACTACTTCTCAGAAACCCTGTACAGGGTCTCTATGAGTCACAACCGACTTGATGGCACTTAACAATAGCAATATGGGTTGAAGGAGCCCCGGTGACACAATGAGATGAGTGTCAGACTGCTAACCACAATGTTGGCAGTTCAAACCCAACAGCTGCTCTGGGAGAGAAAGGTGAGGCCGACTGTTCCTGATTTACTTGTTCATTTTAAAAGTACATTTGAGTCCCTGCTAAGTGCTAGGCATTGAGATTACAACAACAATGTTGGAGTTAAACAGGATCACTGCTCTCATAACATTGATGATTTAGGTGGAGTAGAAATTTAAATGAAATGTCATTTTAAACAGTAATACATGCTCCAAGAAAAATGCTATAGTTCTATGCAGTCCCATTACATGAGAACTTAGGTGATGCCAGGCATTCTGGGTATGGCCTTGCTGAGGGCATGGAGCTTGAGATAACAATGGGAGGCAGGCTTAGCAAAGGGAACTGCTTGTACAAAGCTACAGCTGGAGGATACATGGTTCTTTGGAAGCATAAAAAAAGCCAAGGAATGCAGTAGGGCAGAAGGGAGAGCCTATGCAGTGAGGCTGGGGAGGTGGGTAGGGGCCAGACTGCAGAGCTGAGGGGATGACTTACATGTTTTGATCTTTTTCTCCCAAGAACAATTGGGAATTGTCAATGAGTCTTAAGCAGGAAGTTTACCTGGACAGATTAATATTTTGAAAGGAACAGGTCAGGAAGAGTAGATGAGCAAAGCTTCTCCTCAACCCAAGTTTCTCAGCTTGGATGCCTGAGAAAATGGGGTGCCATCACCACAAATGGGAAGATGTAAAGGAAGAGCTAGTTTTAAAGGAGAAGACGTACCTTTTAGACACATCACGAATTCCTCATGCTACTTGGTGGTAGTGAGAGATACAAGGTGAGTTTATACATAGTAAAACTCACTTAGGAGTTCACAAAGCTTCTTCACATGCAGTCATTTCATGTTTACTTGCTTCTGTGAAGTAGACAGAGCATTATCGTTTTGATTGTACAGATGAAGAAACTAATGCTCACAGAATTAGAATGTCCTCATGTTTGTAAGGAGTCCTGGTGTGGCGCTGTGGTCTAATGCACTGGACTGAAAAGTTGGTTTGAACTACAAGAATGGTGGTTCAAACTCACCAACCACTCCTCAGAAACCCTATACAGGGCCGCTATGGATTGGAATCAACTCGATGGCACTTAACAACATGTTTGTATACAGGAAGCCCCTGACTTATTGCAGGGTTCTATTCAGATGACTCCCTCATAAGTCGGTCCTGACGTTAAGTCAAATACTTCTTCTTTTTTGAGTTTTTAGTTTTCATTATTGCTGCCTTTTATTTTAAGTATCATTATAAATGTTGTTTTTATTTGTTTTGAGGGACCCAAACATTACATATAAACATAAAGATATATTTTAATATATGCATACATTAACAGATACACAAATCATGAAGAGAGGGATCAAGAGCAATAGTTTGTGTAAAGCCTCATTGCTATTTTTGTTAAGTGTGGTTGAGTTGGTTTGTACTCAGAGCGACTCTGTATAGAGTTTAAGAGGGGCTGGTGGGTTTGAACTGCCAGTTTTTCAGTTAGCAGTCCAGTGCTTATCTTTGGTGCCCTACCAAGACACCAGTAGTTTCTATTTTTTAAAGGTGCTAAATTTATAACATACTAAGTCTTATAACTTCAGGTTCAGTGCTTTTGCCATCTCATCTACCCCAGGGAGAGTTTTTTATGAATGTCTTTTGCTTTGTTTTTATTGTAAATTCAGTAATAGTTTACATGGGAGAACATGAGTTTTACACTCATCATTTCATTGCAATGATTATAATCTCCTCTGCTCATCATCATTCAACAGTATTTGCTTCTATTCTATCTGTGTTTTTTGTTTTTTGGGGGGATGTTCACAAAAACACTCAGGAATATATAATCATTTAAACAACCAAAGGGCACATTCTGCAAGCCTGCCTCCTGCTGCCAGCACCTGGCTGCCAGCACACAGTCTTTCTCTTTCCGTGACCCTAGAGTCCTCAGCTGCTCTCTCTCTCCATGCCCCCATCTCTGTCTCCATCTCTGGTGTCGCCGCTTATGAATGTCTCTTAATAATCACATGGTTGGGATTGGAATTTTGCTTCCCCTTCCCGCTTTAGCCAGACTTCGCCTGTCATACTTAGGATATGTTGTCAGGAAAAAAGACATCATGCTTGGTATATAGTAGGAGGGACAGTGAAAAAGAGGGAGGCCTCCAACAAGATGGAGTGACACAGTAGCAGCAACAATGGGCTCAAGCATAGCAGCAACTGAGAGGATGGCGCAGGACTGGGCAGCGTTTAATTCTATTGTATATAGGGTCGCTATGGATCAGAACCGACTGAACAGAACCTAACAACAACAACCACCCTTTAGCAGGAATTTTTAATTTATTCATTTAAAAATTAGATAGAAGAGCTTCTTAGCTA